ATATTAGGAAATTCACGGTTCGATTTGGTTCGATACTTTAGTCTCACGGTTTGATATTTTTTCGATACAAAAAGAGTAATGTCCATGCCCCTTTTAACTTGTAATTTATTGAAAGTAATTCTGTTGCTGAAACAACAAGTTTCTCAGTGGATCTGTGCTCAAAAATACAGCCTAGGTGGAGTAGTCGAACACAGATCCACTGATCCTTCAACACAGAGCATCTTCAGAAGACAAGTTGATAAAATAAATTTTAAAAATCTGTATTGTTCCATACAAGTGTGTATTGAACCTAAAGCACTATTCGATACGGGTACATGTAATGTTGCAACCCCAGTACATGAACAGATTTGGCTCATTATTTGACCAAAAACCGGACAGTTTTATCTTTCTCATCCTTAATTAATGCATAATAAACATTTAATAATGATGTATAAAGTGTTTACAGATAAATTAATAACCTATCTTTATAGTATTTATAATCCATCTATAAGGGGAGCCTTATTGTAAAGTGGTACCACATACTTTTACAGCTAACAAACATGTGGAGTCAATCCAACTCCAGACAGCCACCACAGCTAATCATGGCCATCAATAAGGAGCACCTGATTTGCAACATCTTTGCTTGGACTTTACCATCAACTAATAGTATAAAGATTTGGTCTTGATCTAAAATTGCCTGGCCGGCCTTTCCTTCTATGTTTCTGAGAGGATGTGTGTAATTACTGCATGCACAGCTGTTCGTTATGTGCAGTCCATGATGTCGCTCCCACATGAAAGGACTGATGGGGTTGATAGGTCGCCCCTCGTTCTTTATCTCACACAAGGCTTTTGCTCTGCAGTGTGTGTGTGTGTGTGTGTGTGTGTGTGTGTGTGTTCCCAGCTAGCGTCCTGCTTGGCCTGAGTTGTTTGCATCCTCATTTCCGGCTTGTTAATGACCCATGCTGCATCCCTGACCCCCGGCATGAACTTACAGTGACCCGGGTGAACGGAAAGCAGCTCGATGTGTGTTTTTATGTTGATGTGAGAGTGAAGTTCTGCTTCCTTGTAAAATGTAAACCCCCTGCTCCTTCCACTATTTTCCCAACTTCCCCTCCCCTGATGCTCTGGCCCACTGGTGTTTGGAATCTTTCCATGACATCAGAGCTGTGCTGACA